CCGCGGGGTCAGGGTCCAAAAACACATGGGATTTGCCATATTTCTGAAATTCGGTGCCACTCCTCACGCAGATCCGCGGGGTCAGGGTCCAAAAACACAGGGGATTTGCCACATTTCTGAAATTCGGTGCCACCCCTCACGCACATCCATCGCAAGGAGTGGTAAGCCAAACTGCGAGTACTCCCTCGGCCCTTTAATCCCAAGGTGTGGTAACCAAGCTCGTAAACCATACACGTCTTACCAATCGCCCTGTGTGGTAACCCCTCTTGTGATCAGTTGGTTTTGCCGATTGCGCATCGGCCTCGCATGAAGTTCCGATACTGCTGCACGACAGCGCCAAAGCCTCATGACTTAGCTCTTCCATGGCCCATTCTCCGAGAGAGGGGGCCGGCGGCAGGGGGCGAAGCCCTTACGGATAAATGTGTATGCCGTTTTGTGTTCGAGTGCATTGCTCCCGCCGCCCGACACGGCGAGATCGAGACAGCGAAATCGAGACCCCGGTCCCAGGTATCGATACCAGTGACCCCCGGACCTCTCCCGGGGCGCGCTCTGACCAAAAATTCGAGGCGAGAATCCAGCAGTGGCGAGGAGGGCCTCCCAGAAGGCCCCAGAATGCAAGAACTGGTGAAGGGTCCCCATCAGTCGGAAGAAGTAGGTGGAAACATGAAGTAGGAAGGCGTTGAAAATAGATTGGGTTCCGTCCAGCCCCTAAGGAGGACGGACAAAGGTGAAGCCACTCGATCGTTGAGGTAGGAGGACGCTCAAAGTAGGCTGGAACCTGGGAATCCAGAAATACCTACTTTCAACGACCGATGGGAACAGGTATCGGTACCTCTTCCTCCTCTGAAGCCAGGGGGGGTATATGCATGCGGACCTCGCCACCAGCCCGAGCACCGCGAGATCGAGGCGGGAGCAGTCAACACCGAGTCGGTGAATCGGATCGAATCGAGATGTGCATCGGATCGGGCTGCACCTCGGCGGCGAGCGAGAGGGGAAGTGGGAAGGAGAAGGCCTTCTCAGAAGGTTCGGAAGTCCCCCAGCCTTCTGAGAAGTTTCTAGAGCTTCCCCGAAGACAGACAAAAACTTCTCAGGAGGCGCGAGGGCTTCTGAGAAGTCCCGCCGCCTTCTGAGAAGGCCTTCTCCTTCTCACTTCCCCCCTCGCTCGCCGCCGAGCATCGGCACGGAGTCGAAATCGGATCGGATTGGCCGCGGCAGGATGCACAGCAGCGCCATGCAAGCACTGGGTCGCGTCGCATTGTTGGAGTATCGAGGTCGAATCGCATCGGGCAGACCGACCTCCGAACCCTGCCCCCAACCAACCATCGGTGCTCCCGAATCGATGGGAGGCGCGGGCAGGGCTCGCAGTTCGCCACGCCTTCGGCGAAGTCCGAACCCTGCCCCCGCCGCCCATCGCGTTGCCTGGCTCAAGTCCATATTGGTTCAGGGGTCCCAAAAGTGGCCAAGGACGCGCTCAAGTAGCACAGCGGGCGTCACCCCTGAAAAATCATAGCATCGCGCGCTGAGAGCTTGTTTGCCTGTCTGCGAGATTGGTCAATTTGTTTCTTGGCATATTCACTTCACCCAGGGGGACGTAAGACCTGGGTACAGGGGACTCGGAAATCACCGACGAGGTCGTCAAAAAAATGACGAGGCCGAGCCTGCATTTTGACGAGGCCTCCCGCTGCAGACATCCCACGAAACTCCTCCTCGTCAGAATCCGAGGCGCCGTCGTCGAAAAACGATGGCGAACCCGAGTCCTGGCAAACCCGGGCCTTACGCTCCCCCGATTCACGAGGGCAGGGCGCCGAGGCCACATCCGCTCAACATCGGTCCCCAGACCTCTCCCAGGGTCCCTCGGGTGATTGCAAAAAAAAACCAAGGATTGCAAAAAAAACCACGGATTGCAAAAAAAACCCTCGGTTTTGCAATCCTCCGGTTTTTTTCTTCGGTTTTTGCAATCCTTCGGTTTTTGCAATCCTTCGGTTTTTGTTTGCAATCGATCCTCGCCCCAGACCCGCCCCTCACGGCCCCGGGGCCCGCACGCGCCCCCCGGAGCCCGAGACCGCCCGAGCACCGCCTCGCGGCCCTCTCCTGGACCGTCGAGGGCCGGGCTCCGAGCTCCGAGCTCGCCGCCGAGGCGACCGCAGCGAGGCGGACCCCGTCGAGGCCGCGAGGCCGCGGCCGAGGCGCGCCCGCGGCGAGCGCCCACCACTGGGAGACGTCCGCGGCGGAGACCTCGCGGCCCGGCAGCAGCGCGGCCAGCAGCTTGCCGCATTCCCTGCGCCTGCCGCCGGCCGCGCGCCGCGCGGGCGGGCCTCGCTCGCGGCGAGCGGGGGAGGGCACGGGCAGGAGCTCGGCGCAGGAGCTGAGCAGGGGCCGGCCGTCCCGGCTCTCCTAGAGAGACAGTTTTTTGGAATCGGCGATAGCCCGGGTTATCCCGGGGGAGGAGGGGTCCGGCCGATAACCTAACCCTCGCGCTGCGGGCAGCCCTGCATACGCCCGCGCCCCCCCCCCCGTCCCCCCGCGGACCTGCACAACCGGCAAGGTTAGGTTATCCTGGGGGGGAGGGGGGGGGGGGGCAAGCCCGATAACCCTGGTTATCGCTGGACCCTAAAAAAGGCAGCCTCATTGGGGGGGGAGGGGAGGGAGGGGGGGGGCAAGCCCGATAACCCGGGCTATCGCCGGACCCTAAAAAAAACAGCCTCATAGGCCTACCACGGTACGTTCCCATTGGGGGTCCCAAGACCGTGTGGCGGCAGGCCGTGCGGTGACCTCGGAGCCCCAAGAGACCTCACCGCACGGTGCGTCACCGCACGGCCTTGGGACCCTGGAGGCCCCTGGCGCCCGAGACGTCCTCGGAGAGGGACTCTAGTCCCAAAGCCGTGCGGTGACCCCGAATCCCCACCGACTCACCACACGGTGTGGTCACCACACCGTCTGGGGGCCTCCGACCTTAGAATCAACAACGTTCTAAGAACAATAATCATGCTCTCAGAGGTGAGCCCGAAGCACTAAAGCAAAACAGTCTCAGTGGGCCTGTAGGCAAGCCGGAACGCCTCGCCACTGGTTGAACGAGGGAGCCGAGGAGTTTGGCGAATAAGATCTGCATATGGATGCTCCATCGCTCGACGGGTTGGTCAGCTCGGGCGTCTATACACCGAGCTCCTTAGCCGACCCAAGGGCGTTCGGCGGCGAGCGAGGGGGCGGAGCGAGAAGGAGAAGGCCTTCTCAGCAGGCGGCGGGGCTTCTCAGAAGCCCTCTGGCCTTCCGAGAGGTGCCCTGCGTCTTCGGAGAAGGCTCAGAAGACTTCTCAGAAGACGGGAGGGCGTCCGAGCCTTCGGAGAGGGCCCGGCCCCTCTCACTTCCCCCCCCCGGGCGCGCCGCCGAAGCCGAGCGCGGCCCCGCCGCCGCGTCGTGAGGTGAAGACAGAAGCCTTGGGGTACCATGTGAGACAACAGCAACAACAACAACAACAACAACAACAACAGCAGCAGCAGCAGCAGCAGCAGCAGCAGCAACAACAACAACAACAACAACAAGAAATCACCACCGTGCGCCAGGCGGCGCATTGGCCACTAATGGTCCTTGGGCGTGCTCTGAAGATACAAGTGACACAACGCATGGCAGAAGAAGTCCTGGCTCTTATTCACAAGCAGAGGAAGGAGGAGGAGAAGGAGGAAGACGAAGAAGGAGGCCCGCTCTAAAACAGGAACGTGCCGTGGACGCATCTGCCATGTCTCTGACCTCGTGCCGCGCGAGCCCCAAGGTGGCACAGCAGGGTTCCAAGATGGACCAAGAGAGCCCCATGGCGGCCCAAGATGGCCCCAAGACGCCCTCCGAAGCATTCCAATTCGTGACCCGGTCGTTTAGGGGGACCGCGGTTGGAGGCAGGGAGGCCCGAGGAAGCCCCCAGTGGCCTCCAGGAGACGCCCAGGAGGCCTCCAGAAAGCCTTAAGAAAGCCTGAAAAACTTCCGCACGGTAGGGCGAGACTGAGGAACAAGAAAAATGGAAGATGGATAACGAGTCGCATCATTATAACGGCGATGCCGGAAAAGGCAACAAGGAGTTATCGCTAAATTGTCTGTTTAATCTTCCTGCCTTTTCGCCTGCATACCAAACTTCAAGGACCAACGTGCATGGCGCGAAGCGCCAACGCAGTCGTGTATGTATAAATGCACTGATAAGCCTCGTTATCGTTCGCTCTCTCTCTCTCTCTGTCTCTCTCTCTTCTCTTTCTCTCTCTCTCTCTCTGTCTCAGCGTTTCCTCTCTATATACATATCTATGTGTGTATCTACATCCCGTGTTGAAACATTCAGCGTATGCATATGTAGGTATCGATAGTTATCCCTCTCTCATTCTCTCTCTCTCTCTCTCTTACTCTCTCTCTCTCTCTCTCTCTGTGTATGTATATATATATATGTATATATGTGTGTGTCCCTCTTCTCTCTCTCTCTCTCTCCTTCTCTCTCTCTCTCTCTCTTTCTCCAGGGATGTACGGAAAGAAGAGCGGCAGGGAGGAGAAGGGGGTATTGATGAGGAGGGGGGCGGGGAGGAGGAGGAAGGAGGGAGGGAGGATGTGGGAAGAGGTGGGAAGAGGAGAGAGGGAGGCACGAACACCCAAACATCTAGAGTCTAGATGTGAGATGTCGTGCAATCTCAGATGTTGACGCATTGGGATTATGGTTCAATCACACTGGTGTTGTATGTTGATTCTTGGTGATACAGTGTCTGATTTAATCCGAGGAAGAGAGGAAGATAGCGAGAAAGGGGGAAAGAGGGAGGGAATGAGAAAGAGAGAGAGAGGGGGCGGAGGAGGCGTACCTTTCCTTACGGTGTTTGATCGTATCCTTCAGAAAGGGAGGGAGAAAGAGAGAGAGCGAGAGATGTCTATATCTATATATGCTACTAATGTTTCCACCTGCAGGGAAGAGGAGAAAGGAGGAAGGGTGAGCAGGGATGAGGAGGAATCAGCTTGAGGAGGTGAGAGAAGAAGGGACGAACGCTAACCGTATGTAGATTCCTTTCCCTGTCTGAGTCTATCCGCCCCTCTCTCGCACTCTCTCGCTTTCTATCGCTCTCTCTCTCACTCTCTCTCTCTCTCTCTCTCTTTCGCGTCCTCTGGCTTCTATATACGAACTGTATGCATGTATATACATATATCTATATATATAGGTATACGTGTGTACACACATATACATATACATGCATACATTGATAATGATGTATTGATGTAACAAATAATAACTAAATGCAAATGTATTACATGTGAAACACAACTACATGCATCGATCTATACACGCATATGTATATCATAGCTAACCTGGCGGCGCAGAAGGTTGCGTCTGGCACGGGGGAGAGGCCCTCAGAGAGGCCCAGAGGGGGCGCCCCCCAATTGCAACGCAAGACAGGAAGACGCAGGCTGCCTTGCATCCATAGAAAACCAACATAACATGATTAATATTTTAACTTTCGGAGGTCCGAACGGAATTGTTGGGTCGGCGCTGGACACCCCTCCCTGGCGCGTGAAGCCAGGGGCGGCGCGGAGGCGCCGTCAGGGAGGTCCAGCGCAGATCCCAGAAATCTGCGCGGACCCTCGAAAGTGCGCATTTAAACAATTGCGTCCTCTTCGAATCCAGGGGAACACAGGTCCTCCTCGCACTCACTCTGAGCCCAATGCCGCGGCACAGCCAGAGGACTCGGTTGGACGCCCGAATTGTGTACGTACACAATGGGTACGATGTCCAGCAACAAGTGTTGTCCCAAATCGGCAGCGGCGGCTATTGGGCAGGCGGCCTTCTGTCTCAAATGGACAACGTCCGCGGCGACACCGACAGCGAATCCTGCTCCAAACTGAAAAAAAAAAAAGAGCTGCGGTTGGCCCTCGTGCCCCAGCCTTCTCGCACCCAGCTCCGATCGCAATACGCCCCGAGGCTAAGGAGGAGGCGGAGGAGGAGGAGGAGGAGGCACAGCGTTCCCCAGGAGGAGGAGGAGGAGGAGGAGGAGGAGGAGGAGGGCAGAGCGCGCACCTGATGTTCCTGGAGGTGCCCGCGAAGACCGTGAACAGGACGTGGAGGTTGTGGGCCTCCGGGCCAGGCGCGCGCCCCCCCTGGCCCCCCCGACGCCTCGCCGCGCGCCTGCGGGCGTGCCCCCCCCCCCCCCCCGGAGCTCTCCGCCTCCCCGGGCCGCCCCTCGCCAAGGGGGCGCAGACCGACCAGCCACAGGTGGGGGAGCTGTGGCACTCACCCCCCCGGGGGGGACCCGCCGCATCGACGATCTCTCGAGGGGGGTGTCGAGATCGATGGGTGCCCCAGGGGGTGAGGACCGCGGCTCCCCCAGTTGCGGCTGGCCTGGCAGGGGAGGTCCTGGCTCGACGGCCCTGGCCCCCGGAGGCGGGAGGGGCTGCTCGGACATGCGCCTCAACGTTCGTGAAGGGGCCCAGGGACACACAAATGAACAGGCCCAGCCACCAGGACTCACCAGAATAGTCTCTGCTTTCTGGACGTTCGTCTCCCTCTCCACTTCCCAGGTGCTCCATCTCCTCCAGGGCATCGGCGCATATTTGTGTCTGCATGCGCGGATGTGGATCGGCGCGGGACCCCCCTCCGACGAATGTGGCGTGTACCTTCAGGGAGGGCGGCGGCGTATCAAGTCGCACGCTCTCCGCGGTGATTTATACAGCGCAACCCTCCCGGGAGTCCCAGGGGCAATCGATTGGAGGGTGTCTGTGCTGGTGGGCTTGTTTTCCACCCACCACCACCATAAGTAGGAGGGGGAGGGGGTCCTCCTCCTCCTCCTCCCTCCTCCTCTCCTCCTCCTCCTCCTCCTCCTTCCTTCCTCCTCCTCATTCTCCTCCTCCTACCTCCCCCCTCCTCCTCCTCCTCCCTCCTCCCCTCCTCCTCCTCCTCCTCCACCTCCTCCTCCTCCTCCTCTCCCTCCACCTCCCCCCCCCCCTCCCCCTCCCCCTCCCCCTCCTCCACTTCCTCCTCCTCCTCCTCCTCCTCCTCCACCTCCTCCTCCTCCTCCTCCTCCTCCTCCTCCTCCTCCTCCACCTCCTCCTCCCCCCCTCCTCCACCTCCTCCTCCGCCCCTCCCTCCTTCCCCCCTTCCCTTCCCTATCCCTCCCGTCCCTTCCGTCCGTCCCCTTCCCTTCCCTTCCCGTCCCTTCCCTTCCCTTCCTTCCTTCCCTTCCCTTCCTCCTCCTCCTCCTCCTCCTCTTCGTCCACTTCCTCCCTCCTCCCCTCCACCTCCTCCTCCCCCTCCCCCTCCTCCTCCTCCTCCCCTCCTCCTCCTCCTCCTCCTCCCCTCCCCCTCCCTCCTCCTCTCCTCCTCCTCCTCCTCCTCTCCTCCTCCTCTCCTCCTCCTCCTCCCTCCTCCCATCATCATCATCATCATCATCATCATCATCATCTCATCATCATCATTCATCATCATCATCATCATCATCATCATCATCATCATCATCATCATCATCATCATCATCATCATCATCATCATCATCATCATCATCATCATCATCATCATCATCATCATCATCATCATCATCATCATCATCATCATCATCATCATCATCATCATCATCATCATCATCATCATCATCATCATCATCATCATCATCATCATCATCATCATCCACCTCCTTCCCCCCTCCCAACTTATGGTGGTGGTGGTGGAATACAAGCCCATCATGTGCGTATATGTTTGTGGCGGGGCCTCGGCCGATATCTCGAGCTGCGCCCAGCGCCGCGGCCGCGGCCACTGGAGAACGCCCCACTTGCGGGAGGCCCGAGCGCTCCGAAGCCAGACTCTCGCGAAATCGAGAAGTCCTCTTCTGTGGGGGCCGAGCCCTGGCATCCGCGGATCGGAGTCTCAATGCGCGGTCCCAAAAGGTCCCAACCGCTTCCTCGCCTGCTGGACGCGGACCCGCCTCCCCTCTCGGGCAGAGGAGCGTTTTTGTGTGCGAGCTGCGGGGCCCATGCGGCTCGCAGCAGCCAACAGATCGCTTGGCGGAGTGCCCACCAAAAGTGCACCTCCTCGGGAAAGGTCGTGCTCGACCTGTCGTGTCTGTCTCCCGCCTGGCTTGAGGCCTCTACTTTGCTTATGCAACGGGCCCCTGGTCATCTGAGAGGGGCCCTTCTCCTCCGACTTCTCCTCCCCCTTCATCTCAACCATCGTCCTCCTCCTCCTCCTCCTCCTCCTCCTCCTCCTCCTCCTCCTCCTCCTCCTCCTCCTCCTCCTCCTCCTCCTCCCCCCTACGTTTCCCCTCCTCCTCCCTGCTTCTCCCATCCTCTTCCTCCTCCTCCTCCTCCTCCTCCTCCCTCCTCCTCCTCCTCGTCCTCCTCCTCCTCCTCCTCCTCCTCCTCTCCTCCTCCTCCTCCTCCTCCTCCTCCTCCTCTCCTCCTCCTCCTCCTCCTCCTCCACCCTCCTCCTCCTCCTCCTCCTCCTCTTCCTCCCTCTCCTCCTCCTCCTCCTCCTCCTCCTCCTCCCTCCTTCCTCCTCCTCCTCCTCCTCCTCCTCCTCCTCCTCCTCCTCCTCCTCCTCCTCCTCCTCCTCATCCTCCTCCTCAGTCACGGCAGCTACCCCGACGCGACGCTCGAAGGAGGGCAACAGCGGAGGCGAGCTGCTCATCGCCAAGGCGCACTTGGCGACCACAACGTTCGATGTGATGAGGGAGACCCTCAAGGCTCAAGGACGGCAGGACTTATTCAGAGGGTTCACGGCCATGACTGTCCACCTCAGCGGAGGCAATGTCGTTCTATTATCCCTCTACCTTCTTCCCAAGGAGGGCATGCAGGGCAGCAACTTTGAAAAGACCAAGGCGCTCTCGACGGTCATAGGGAGCATCACGGACCCATGGATTATCATGGCAGATTGGAATATGGCCCCATCCCTCGTCGAGAAGCCGGGCCTCCCCACGCGCCTGGGAGGCAAGGTGATCGTTCCGAAGATTCAGATCACCTGTGACAAGGGCAAGTGCAGTCTCATAGATTTCGCCATGGCTCGAGAAGACATTGCAGACGGCATCACCATCGACGGTCACGAGAAAGTACCTTGGAGGACACATACGGGGCTCCTGCTCAAATTACCAGGGCGCTCGGAGGCTTGGTGGCACAGGCATTTGGATCTCCCCAAGCCGTTGCCTCTGGTGCCCCCACCAAAGAAGGCCCCCGACCCAGAGAGCAAGCGCAGTAAGAAGAAGGAGGCAACACAACAGAAGAGACTGGCAGAACTCCCTGAAGAATTGCGCGAGGAGTTCAACGTGCTCGAGCCCCCACAGACCAACGCGCAGCAGACGGTGCAGTACGCGATAGACGAGGGCCAGTGGGAGCAGGCCAGCCGCATCGCCATCGGCCCAGCGTTGTCCAAGCAGATGCACGAGTCGGAGGCCAACCTCCTCATCCGAGGAGAGCATCAGAAGCTCATGGAGCAGGCGATCACAGGCGAGTGTGCGACCTGGGTCACCACTCTGGAGGAGGCCATCATCGGAGTAGACAAGATGGACGCAGCGCAGGCTGATGCACACCGAGGCAGAGGAGGTGGTTTTGCTATCAGATGGCAAAGATCGAAGGCCACACCAGGTCGCACGCACATGAAGTATCAAGCAGCAGAGTTGTGGTCGATAATGGGAGTCTTGATTACCAGATACGCGTCACTACGGCTCAACGGTTCAGACGACATGCAACAGAAGAAGTGCGAGAAGGAGTTGTCTGCTACCTACCAGCAGTTCAGGAGGATGGGTTTGGATCATATATTTGGGAAAAATTTTGATCAAGATGAAGCTGGTGAGCGCATGCTAGGCGTGCAGGAGGTCAAGACACACACGCTGGACGACCTTGAGGTGCTCAAGGATGAGATCGAAAAAGCACATGGCAATTGCGGTCTCCATGGGCATCTCCACTCAGCGGCAGCAGTTCACCAAGTGGGCAAAGAAGATGTGGGCGGAGAAGCCAGGCATCCTGCATCAGCACGTCAAAGATCCAGTGCAGTCGACCTACGAGCAGTATCACCAGGACGCTAGCTCGGCGGATCCAGAGTTCCTCATGCACACGAAGGGGGGGAGATGGTTGAAGATCTGGACGGACGCAGTGGACACCAGAGAGGACATCGCGGCTGAGCTGCAGGTCATGCACAGACAGGCCAGAGATGAAGATTTGGATCCTATTACAATAGAAGAGTTCGACACGGCCATGCAGGCCACGAACCCCAACAAAGCAGGCGGCGTGGACGGTCTCAAGTTGCACGATATCAAGAGGGCCCCGCAGGGTGCACGCCAGAAGCTGGTCGACCTCATCAACATGCGCGAGCAGACGGGCACGTGGCCGAGGCAGTGGACGGCGACACTCGGGGCCGTGGTCCCCAAACCAGCAGGCGGAGAGAGGGTGTTGGGGATGCTACCCCTACCAGTCAAACTGTGGAGCAGGACGAGGGCGTCACCGTGCAGTGAATGGAGTGAGGCACTGAGCGCGCATTGGGACACGGCCCTCAAAGGCAGCTCGGCGTTGCGGGCTGGTCTGCTCCGCGCCTGCCTGGACGAGGCGGGGCACGAGCTGGGCATCTCCAGCCTCACCCTCATGGAGGACATCGAGAAGTTCTACGACAGCGTCAGCCTGGCGCTGCTGATGCGCATCGCGAGGGGCATCGGCTACCCAGCAGCCGTAGTTGAAATGGAAGTACTCATCTTCGCGGCGGCACGGTTTCTCAAAGACAAGTCGGCGCTGAGTGAGGCTACATGGGTATCCAGATCGATAGTTGCGGGGTCGCCCAGAGGAGTCAGCCTCGCGAAGGTGTTTCTCCACCCAGTCCTACAGCGAGCGCACATCATATCGCCCACAGCGGGGCTCTGGACTTTCGTCGGCGACACTGTGGCTCGAGAGGAAGGCACTTCACTGGACACCCCAGATAAGATGGTCAGAGTGGCTTGCGAGCTCGCCCAAGGACTTCATCAACAGAGGCTCAAGATCTCAGACAAGACAGTCATCGTTGGCTCGTGCAGGGACATGGTCAAGAGCGCGGCTAAGAGGTTGCAGCAGAACGGCACCCCAGCCAAGGCCAAGACGTTCACGAAAGACCTGGGCCTCGACGCTGCTGCTGGGCGCAAACGAGTTGCAAGGACACTAAAGAGACGCATCCTGGCAGCCAAGAGACGGTTCGGCAAGATCAAGAGGCTGAGGAAAAGTACTACCTTGGCGAAATAAGCGAAAGGACTCTGGTCAACGGGCGTCATGCCCCAGGCCACATACGGACATCAAGCGTTCGGCCTTTCCATGACGGAGCTGATGAAACTTAGAAGACAAGCGGGTCAGATCGCAGCAGGATCACAAGGAGGCAAATGTCTGACTACAACACTGGCAATCGAGATGTGGGACAAGGAGCCAGGTCTGGAATTGCGCAAACGAGTTGTTCACGAGTGGCTGGCTATGTGACAGGTGAATCACCAGATCCATGCGAGAGTCAAGTTAGCATGGCCAAAGATCAGGCAGCGACTGGTCACGGCTGGACGCAGGAGATGGGCCTATGTCAGAGGCCCGATCGCCACACTGCAGGCCACGCTGATGGACATAGGCTGGAACCCCATCAAGGCGACAGAGTGGGACAGACCACTACTTGATGGACAATTGCAGGCCTGGCTCATCCCCAGCGCCACGGACACGGAGTACACGAATGATTGGAAGAGGCTCGCTATCCTGGGAGATGTGGTCAGTGATCTGCGCAGGTTGTACTGGCAGCAGGCGTCGAAGCACGAGGATGGAGCGGACCTTCACCCAGGAGCTGATGTATGGAGAATCAGAGCAGAACAACGTAAGTTTCACAATGAAGGAGCTTCAGATTTGGCGGCGCTCAACTTGACAGTTACCACAGGTGGGCAGTGGACCCGGACGAGGCGTGCCAGACAAGGATATTTGATTGAGTCCAAGCTATGCCAGCGCTGCTTGCTCAAAGATGAGAGTTTGTTTCACCGCATATGGGAATGCGAGCAGAACAAGGGCCACGAGGACTTCGAGAAGTCGGAGGTGCTCGTGGTGCAGGCGGCGGCGCAGCACGAAGCGTCGCCTGCCCTGTGGCTTCGGGGTGTGCCAGCCGCTGGGCTCACCACTCCTGACTTTGATGATGCGCTCATCGGCCAGCTTCAGGTGGAGTTTAATTCATATGGCTTCGCCGAATGCACGGAGGCAGGCAGAGTTCACATTTTCGGAGACGGCTCGGGGGGGCAAATATTCTGATGACCCCAGAAGGAGGCGCTGCGGAGCAGCGATCGTGGGGCTCGTGAAGGATTCGGGAGGCGGGTGGACCTTGGGGGAGGCTCTCGGGGTTCCTCTGCTCGGAGAAAAGCAAGCGGTCCCCCGAGCCGAAGTTTTAGCCTTCTGCCTGGCTCTAGAGCAAGTAGATTCAGATCGCGGTTTCACATTTGTGACGGATCATAAGACGATATCCAGGACCTGGAGGGCCCGTCTTCGGAGGCCCAGCCCTGTGGGCGCCAACGAAGACCTCTGGACCAGGGCCC